ATTTATTATAGATGTATTTTATCAGTGATGGAGAAGATTGTTTATTGAGATGCATTTTAAAGAGAAACAGAGGTTTAATTTTATTTTCAAGCTGCATAGAGTCCCTATTATTGAGAAAATATTTTGCTTTTGTTTGTAATGATTCTTCTGTGTATATTGCAAAATCTAAAAATTGTTTGTAAGACCACCTTGTACTACTAAAATAAACATATTTAATCTTCCAGCTGTTGACTGCTTAGCTGAAACATAACACTTTTTTAATGCCGTTATAACATTTAATTTTACTCTTTTTCAGAATGATATCCAGTTCAGATCCTGCTCAAATTTTCTCTGGTCCACCAAAATACATGCAAGTATTGGTAGAGACTGGCATTCTAATATGTGATACACAGCATGTGGATAATTTTGAACTAGTGTTGGCAGCCAGTGACGACAGGATGAAAATTCTTTGGGGAGTCATGGAATTTGTAGCCCAACAGGTGCTATCAAAGGACCTAATCTGTTCTGAGACAGCCAAGGAAGTGAATGTCACAGAGAACAATACAAAGATAAACTACAGTATTTTCATGTAAGGTAGATAGACCTGTTTCATCACTGAGGTTGTTTAAGATCTGACTGAAAATACTTCTCATTCAAAAGATCTCTTCTTGTCCCAGCAAAGTGCACAGTGAAAATGTGCATTACTTTGTTCATTCCCTTACCTGGAAAGGTCCTCAGTTGACTTATGGATGTGAGGCTAGAAAGGAGTTCTTGGCATTTGGCCACAAACATTTCAACTCTGAGATATCAAAAGGTGAAGCTAACTATGGTTGATGATTTCAGCATAACAAGGAAGGGGAGGCTGGGAGGAGTAAAATTCCCTGATGAAATATTTTAAAATGATGCTTTGTCTGAACACGCTCCTGCAGTTTTCCATCCTAGCTCTGATCTTCATTATTTCTCTTCATAATTTGGATGAGAGGCCCTTGAGGTTTGTGCAACAAAGGTTTGGAACGTGTACTGAAGTAAATCTACAATGTCTTTGCAGTCTCTGAAGAAAAAAAAAAAAAAAAAAGGTAAATCATCAGCAGTGTGTGATCTGCCAAGATCAGTCCTGCATTGTATCTTAAAACAAAGTGAATTTCATTAACGTTCTTTAGACAAGAAAGTCAGCCTGTAATACTTCAGTTATGGGCTGAAGAGCTGCAGGGAGTTGCTACTTTTTTGTCTTTAAAGCAAGAAGGTACATGCAAATTGATAGCTTTAGAAAGTTAATGTGTGAAAGGTCTATTTGCGTCTTTTCAAAGACCAAGATCCATTATCCTTTTTTATCTTTTATTGATTAAGCAATACTAGTTAAATTAAATCACCTTGCAGAAGATAGTATCATGCAACACTTCAAAATATCTTTCTTTGTTCACATTTTTAAAAAGCAGCAATTGGATTTAACTTGCTAGGGTACATGTGAATTTTGTCCTCCTGTTTGCAAATCAGTAGTAACTGCCTTGCCAACTTGTTCTGTTGCACTGCACAAGACTATTTATGATGTGTTTGTGTATTCATATGAATGGAATTTATTTTGTGGTACCTACACTGCTGAGCAGCAGGAATTTACTTAAGCAGTTTTGTTCTTCATCCTTTCTGCTTCAGTGTAATTTTGCTCTGAAGAATAATTAATTACAGCAGTGATAATCTAACCAATCAATGTATTCTATTTCCAATTTTTAGTGTTTGATTAACAAAAGGAAAAGATTACTGCTGATTCTGGTATCACAGTTAGGTTTTTAAGTATCTTGCAGGTTTGGGAGAGGGCTTTTCTTGTCTTGCTTCCTACCTCCTCTCACAACAACAACAAACTTGAGAGCTTTAAGCAAAACTCTTTTAGATTCTGTTTGTTTTTTTTTCCTACATGAACTGGAGCAATAGTGGAGGTCTCAAAATCAAGCTGGCGAAAGAGAATTTAGAGAGAAAGGCAGCATATATAGGGAGCTTCAACTGAGGTGTGAAAACACTTTCTTGGCTCTATCTCATCCAAAGCTGCAGGTAAGAATTCAGTGAAGTGCGCATAAAACAAGCACACAGTTCTTTTTAATGGGTTTTTAAAGCTGAAGTATTTGGTCCTCATAATCTTGCTATGTAGGCACCAGTAATGATCGTAACTCTGTCTAGGGAAGGCCCATTTTGTATCTGTTCCTGCTGGCATGTAGAGTAACAGCAGCCATCTTCCATCATCCTGAGCTCTCCCTGTGAGGTCATAGACTTGTCCCAAATGTTTTTCAGTTCATTAAAGTGTCAGTTTAGGAGTCCAGACAGTACATGGTTGTCCTTGGTGTTTATGGTCTGTATTCCTCCAGCTTGGTGTTGAAGATCACTGATGATGAACATTTGATTGTATCTGTAAAAACTCATTTTGACAGTGCTGAGATGTTTACAGCTGCTTGTAGCTGAGCTTATTAGTGACTTAGCCCTCATTAGCTGCCAGCTGTGAAAAATCACATGCCATAATGTGCATCTTGCTAAAGCCTAGAAAAACATTCATGAGAAGCAGCTGGGAATCTTAACTCGTCTGATTTTTGTTAACCTCTCTCTAAGTGCAAGGCTTTGTCTGAGTCTCCAGAGTGTGGCTATCACATAAAGTGAAAAATAAATCATGTGCCAATTACCAAAGCTAGTACCTGAAGTGGAGCAGTTCAGAGCATCTGAGAGAATCTGAGCTGAATGGATTTCCTGGTATCTTTTTGGTTTTGTCCTATAGAAAGAATGTCCTTATGTCATTGATAGTGTCCGTTAGCACCTTGTCATAATTCATGCTGTAAGAATGATGTGCACCATTTGGTGTCTGAAGTGCAGTAAAAGTAATCTTGGAGCTCCACTGCAGTGCACTATGAGTCCCACCCTTCCACCTCGGCATCACCAAATACATTATTATAAGCATTTAAAAAAATGAAATGTAAGCAAATTCTGACTGTTGAAGACCAGTTAACATTTAATGATTGATTAAATCAGTGGCATATATAGAAGGGCTTAGGGAGGAAGGTGCAAGCTGCCTGAGACATTTCCATCTTGGACAGAGCTTAAAGTCAAGTAAGTATGAAATAATTCTTTTCTTACTCAAGTGTGGACATGTTCCAACTCCCCTGCAGGATGTGTTGTAATGATTTACTCTGCTGAATTCCTGTGAAAGCAATCCTTTGTAATTTCAGAGCCTTGATGCTGTATTTATAAATGTCCTGGCCCAGTAGTCAGCCATTTGGCAGGGTTGTACTGTAGCTCACTTCTGAAGTGGAGATTTTAAATGGAAGGATGAAGGGGTCAGGAATTTCATGTCTGTGAACACAGTTCTGTACAATCCAGAGTTTGTGGTTTACCTTGAAGCTCAGGCCCTTCAGCATTCTGGCATGTGAGGAAATACTAGCTGTATGTAACTGGCTTGTAAGGGTTCTGATGTTGTACCTGAATGTCCCAACTGATCTGAGAATCACAGCACAGAGAAAGCCTTCAGCTAGCAGCAGGAGTAGACAGGGGAGATGGGCACAGCTGAATAGGGCACGGTTCTGCAGAAAGAAGGCTTTTACAGGACCACACAGCAGGCCACACAAAAGTATTTGTACTTTCCGAGTCTCAGTGTAGTATTGAGCCGCTGGACTGACCTGCTTCCAAACTTCTTTCTGCTGGGTGCTCCCTTCCTCTGTCCCCAAGGCGAGGTGCTCCCGCAGCCTGCGCTGCCGGCTGGCACGTCCTTCCCGCAGCAGCCCCGCGCCTGGCTCCTCCCGCTCTCCTTATAACAGCGGGGATGCAGCGAGCGTGTTCTGTTCCAGCAGTTCCGTTTGCCTGCCCATCGACGTGCTGCTGCTGGGACCCAGTCAGGCAGACCAAGCTAGGAGAGGCTGAAGGAATCGCTGTAAGTGAGATGCTGCCTTCAATCACTGCTGTGCTTGTAGCTGGCAAAGATTGAAGCTTGTGTGCAACAGGCTGTCTCCTTTTTTGCTGATGGCTGTTCATCTTTTCTACTGCTCGGTTTAATACCAATGCCTCCCTTCAGCACTACGTGCAGAAGAGTGGCTGAGGAGTAATGTTGTCTTTTTTTCTTTGTATTTTGAAAGACTCAGAAGTTTCTAGAGCCAATTCTAGCAGAGTAACATCTTAAATCCTTAGTTTGTTTTGCTGTAAAACTTGAGAAAATGTTGTAGTACTTTGTTAGGTAGATGGTGAGGGGATGTTGCAGTGGTTCATTTAAGCAGTAGCTGAGCAGCTCCCCACAGGCTGGAAGGCACTGAAGTCATCTCCCATTATTCTCCCTGCAGGTGATTCCATTTATCCTTAAATTATCTTAGTACTAGCACAGAGTTAAGGAAATATATTTGCCTTTGCAAAAATGTCTTTTTTGCACAAATTTACACTTGTTTTTTTTTTAGACAGACAGCAGCCAGTGTGATAACAACTCTTTCATTTTTATTACCAGCTCAGAATAGCTTTTCTTTTTTATATCTTTCTAAGGATCATTTTATAGTACATACTCAATCATAATGAAAAAGTAGCAATAATTTACTGGTTAAATTTACCAGAAAACAAAATGGAACAGCTGTTCCTTACTGACTCAAGTGCATCATTCCTGCTGCTTTTTTCCTCTGCAACCCAAAAAAAGGAAATTTAACATTCTGCTTTTATGTCTCTGAAATAAGGACCTCCTGAAAAATCTCCTGTTTATTGATGCCTGCACGCTGACCCTGCACCTGAGGAGACATTGCCTCTCCTCTGTGGGGAGCTGGCTGGGAAAGATATAGTGCAGTGGATACATCCACTTCATGTGTTCATCACATCATTTTTCCTGCACTGAAGTGTTCCCTGGGACCCGTTCTTTACTGTTTGTTCTATTTGGTCTCAGATGTGACTTAGAGGCCTTTGTTTGAACTGGAACTCTTCAGAATTGAGATGCAGAAAATCCAAGATGTACTGATTTAACTCAGCACTGAGGAATCATAAAACCAGTATTAATGATTTTCCTTTAACTTCAACAGGAAGTTTTCTCTAAACAGTAACTATTTCTGCTGCAATGGACAAAGGACTTCACTTTATGTTCTGTGTGGTTACAACTGTGCTGCTCCTGAGAGAATCGAGCCAGACAGGTGAGAAGATTTGGCCGAAAATGCTAGCTGCATTCAAATCTGGTTTTGTTCTTTGCAGTTTGTTAATTCTTGTTAATAATAGTGCTAGATCAGGACACTGTCTTTAAAATTTGCTTGAGATTCAGTTATGAAGACATTGCCAGGACCTACCTTAGGGCCAGCAGAAGAAGCCTGCCAGTGACTTGTGCACAGCCGTCAGCTGGTTGGATCCCAGTGCAAGGAGCTGGGGAGTTTGCTTTTGCAGCTGAAACAAATGCTGTTGTTTCAATCTTACTGTGGCTTTTTGGTGTTCTGTGCATCAGTGCACTAAGGAGTAGCTTGGCCTCGCAGCGTTACTGGGAAACAAAAATTGGCTCCTCTACTGGTTCTCCTGCCCCTCTCACCTGCCTGTTCCTTACCTGACCAGAGCTGGTGGTAGCAGCAGGTTGCTTCAGGTTACGTATACATTAGTCTTTCACTTCAGTGACAGTGGTCAGTTTCTCTGATTCTCTTATCCTGAGTTTCCCAGTGTACTCCAAAACTGTCATCCATCTGACCTCTTGGTTCAGCTTTCCCTTATGGTCACAAGCTGCATAAAGGGAAAAGTGGACAGAGGGTACCAAGGCAGGGTTACTAACCTAGGCAGAGGGGAGACAGGGTAGAAAACTGGGGGTGAGGAGGCCAGTCCTGATTTATCTGTGCTGAAAGCTTTTTGTTTTTGTTGTGGTTGCTGATTTTTGCAACCACATTAGTTTCCTGCAGCAGCAAACCTTTGGGGGCAAGAGTGGAGGGATGAGACCCTGTGTGGTATGTTTTTCTAAATTCTCACAACGAGGACTTGGCTTCTGAGAAGTGTCACTGTGATGAACTTAGAGTTAGGGCTGCAACTCGATTACTTATGGTCCTTTCAGGAGTTCCTACAATGGGGCTTTGAACAGCTGCATCCAGTGCCGCTGTGGGGGAGCTGAAGCCCTCGGTACAGACTGTTTTCTTCCAAAAAACCCTAGCAGGTCTTCAAAAAAAGAGCCTCAAACAGCTTTCACTGGCTCTAATGAGTTTCTGAAGAGAGACAAGAGAACTCCTTTGTGAAGATTTCCAGCTCCCATGGAGAACTGTGGAGGACAGGGAAAAAGCTGGTTTTGTTTTAACAATAATGTAGAGTTCAGCACAAGAAAATGCAAATCCAAAGAATGAATAATACATAATGAATGAATACGTTGTTATATTTAATGAGAAACTCACAGCTTTTGCTTGGAAGAGTACAAGCACTCTAATTTCTTCGTTTTATTTTTTATTTATTTATTTTTTTTTTAGTTTTTGTTTTGGCTTTTGCACTGTGAATTCTTTGATTCCAGGGAGCAATAAAAGAAACCGTCCTGGGTAGTTAATATGCTGTACATTTACACAATTGTGATTTTCATTCTGCATCTCAAATATTACAGTTTAGATCTCTTAGATTTGCAGACTTGAGGTATTGTGGGTGTTATGGTAAAGGAAGCTGTGGATCAAATAATTCAATTGATTTTGTTAAGAGCTGCACACTGGAGCGAAGAGTAGAGCCAAAAGCTTAATTAATGTCATTAATAATACTTTTACAAGTGGATTTTTTCTGAAGAGGAAACCGACACAAGGAGGAGAGGTAATACAGAACAACAGATCAGAAGCAGATCTGGTGACACTCAGGTGTTCTGCAGTGAATTTTCACAGGAATGAAAAGTCAGAGCACCTGTAATTCTGGGGGAGAAAGCAATTGGAGGAGGCAGAGAAGGATTTCTGCCCCACTGGTTGTGAGATGGTCTCCTTTCTCTGCTTTTAACAATAAGAACCTATTAAGAAACCCTTTTGTCTTGGAATTCAATGCTGATGAACTGCAGGTTGTTTAGAGGGCTTTTCCTTAGGCATACAGGCTTTGACAGGAGCTGGGGGGTTGATCTAAGTCATGTGAAGCAGCAGGACTGCTGGCTTTTCAACTGATCAGGAAGGGCAATTCTGCAAAATCTGTTTTTCAATGTGTGAGTGATAATAATAAAGCTAGAATTAGAAACTTCTGCAGCCTGAATCTATCTGTGTATATTTCTGCCTCTGTTTGCTTGACATTAATACTGCATTGTGAATAAGGAAACAAACTTAGAAAATTACTACAAGTCAGCTGTACTGTGAACTTCTGAGTCCAAGGGATGATCATTCTGCTTATGTAAGTGAAATGAGTTTATGAAAGTTCACTTTTAAGGAACTGTAAACATAAACCCTGCAAGGAGTTGATTTTGTTGTTATTTTTTCAGGAGCAGTGAGGAATGATGATGCTATGATTAAGGTATGTTTAAGTTCATTGGTGCAGGGCTACCAATAAAGTCATGTGTACAAAAGCTCTTGGATATTAAATCTAGAAATAGATGAGTTCGCAGCCTGTAATGTGTTTGATCTGTGAAAGCAGCTTTAGTAGCAAAAAAGTGAACTGTTCTGAAGTATTAGTGAACAGAAAGCATCTTCAGTTATATGACTGTAAGGTTGGAAGATGCATTCTTGAATTTGCTGTTCCATATGAAAGTGAATTCATGTTTCATCTTCATCTCAGGTTTCCCACTGTTTTGTCTCCAGGAATTGCTCTCTAATGAGGCCTTAATTGGCTGCTAGCTGTTTTGTCAGCAGCATAAATTGATCTCTCTTTGGAAGATTATATGCACTTTGTACCTGAAGAACTGTGACAGCATTTAATGTGATTTTCTTTTTTATTTGTATGTTGACAACATGCAATAAAGTGAAATGCTTTTGATTGATTAATTACTGTCATGGAACACATACACATTATAATGTAAACCCTAGGTAAGCAGGGAAATCCAATTATTTTTCCTTTATTTTTTTTATTTGTAGGCCAATGACTTGAGGGGTCCAGAAGAGAACCTTCCAGCTTTGACTGTCACAACAATCTTGGTAAGGCAGTAACAAAGCACTGTAGCTGGGAGATAGCTGGAGTTAATTCACAGTCAGTCACACTGCAGACTGTGGTGGCATGTAATTGTATTTCTCTGTTTATGCAGGAAGATCCTTATGTCATGGTGAGAAGTGCAGAACTGGAGGGATACTGCATTGATTTGCTGAAAGCACTCGCTTCAATGCTTCACTTCAGCTATAAGGTGAAGGTGGTGGGAGATGGGAAGTATGGAGCCATCTCTTCCAATGGGAACTGGACAGGGATGATTGGAGAGATTCTGAGACAGGTAACTTTCTTTTCACGTTTGAGAAGCTGCAGCATTAACAAGGAAAGGAGCCCAGGAGCTGTGCTTACGTGGCTATTGGCCATGTAGGTATCAGTCTACTCAGCCTGGGAAGCATTCTGTTTTAATGATAAAAGACTTCAGGCAGGTTGGATGATTGGTTATATTTTAACTACTTACAGGAAGCAGACATAGCAGTGGCTCCCTTGACAGTCACGTCAGCAAGGGAAGAGGTAATCTCCTTCACTACGCCATTCCTGCAGACTGGGATTGGAATCTTGCTTCGAAAGGACACCGTCTCTCAGGAGATGTCTTTCTTCCACTTCCTGGCTCCTTTCAGTAAGGAGACCTGGACTGGCCTCCTATTTGCCTATGTGCTGACGTGTGTCTGCCTCTTCCTTGTTGCCAGGTATAAATGTGTTTTACAGGTTTTGCTCAAGTCAACTGCTTTCCCAGCTATGGAGAGATTTTTATTTTTAAGAAAATACCAGGGTGCATTTTGCTTTGAGAAACTTTCTGTACAAATCTAGAACCAGAGCTAATAAAACTTAATGGCAGACTAAGAGTAGGAACTTCCAATGAAAATGACCATATCTCTTGATGTGGATTATCCACTGTTGTCAGAAGGACTGTGTGTTTGTGTTTCAGCTTTTTTGTTCTCACTTTTTTTTTCAAAGTTGTTTTTTACTCTGACCATATTCCTTGGCACAGTCCTTTCTCCCAGAGTGTTTTCATGCACTCAATCCTACACTGACTTTTGTGGATGAAATTCTTTCCCCTCCCTCCTTTTCCCAGGACATTCAGCTTTCTCCTGCTCTCTTCATGAGGCTGCACTAAGGCTCTCTGCATTTGGAATTTTGAATGAAAGTTCTATTACTGCTTTTTTGTTTTGTGCACTGTCCTGAGCCCTCAGTGTTGCAAAATACTTGAGATATTGACCAGGAGCATTTTTGTCTACTAGATAAACTGGGCTACAAGTAAAGGAGGACCCCTGATGGAAAGATAGGGCATTTCCAGGCTGTCTGCACTGCTGCACATCGTGCTGCAGGATTGCTTTTTCCTTTAGTGTCTGGTGTCATCCTGTTATTTCCTCATAGGCTGAGCCCTTGTGAATGGAATGAGCCAAAGAACGAAGAGAATCACTTCACCTTTTTAAACAGCCTCTGGTTTGGAGCAGGAGCGCTCACGTTGCAAGGTGAGCTGGGAGGAGCTGACTGCATATCCAGCTGTCTGTAACAGTACTGTGCCGTACTGTATGGTTAGGGTGCTGAGGGAAAGGATGATCAATAGGGACACTTGGCAGTGCTAAAACAGAGATGTCTTGATTAGGGACTTGTGCAGGCGGCTGGCTTCATGTGAGCACTGTGTGTTTTCTGCTGTAACTCTTGCTCCAGGACTAACCAATGCATTTATGTTTTGTAGAGTGGAGTCTTTTTTTTGCCAGTAGCAGTGCTTCAGCTCTGCATAGCATGCAGCATTGATGCTATTCAAACCAGACGCTGAGGGCGTTTTAAGCCCGTGTGTTCCTAAAATAGCTGCAAAGCAGCTTTTGCAGTTTGGCCTTCATTTAAAAAATCTTGTGCTGGCTTTGACTCAGGCTCTCTCACCACCCACACTTTCTGTCGGCTCCATTGGTCCCGCAGGTGTCACCCCTCGGCCCAAGGCGTTCTCTGTGCGGGTCATCGCTGCCATCTGGTGGCTTTTCACCATAGCTTTGCTGGCTGCTTACATCGCCAACTTCACCGCCCTGTTGAGCTCTGGCAGCGAGCAGCTCCCGATCCAGACATTTGAAGATCTTGTGAAGCAAAGGAAGCTCGAGTTTGGGACACTGGATGGCTCCTCCACTTTCTACTTCTTTAAGGTGCAGAAAATGTAATTGTGTGCATACATGCCTGCCTTAGAACTGCTAAAGTGCAGTCAAGCTGTCTGCACGTTGGGTCTTACACTGCCTTCTTCTCTGTAGACTCTGCCAGTTCTCTTGTACTTTAATGTGATTGGTAGGTGTTGTTTTCTTATCTCTTCTTTCACCTTTTCTCTGAGAGAGAAGCATGCAGAAGATTGTGCTTTAATAGTGTATCCTCTCTTAAGACAGTGGTACTAGTCTTCAGGGGTTATTCTTGTGTACCTTGAACATAAAGTGCTAGAAAGATGATAATTTTAATTACAGAGGGCTGAAAGGTAAATAGTTTTAAGTACTCTTATTCTTTATATATTTTCACAGTCACTGCACATATAGGCAATTATTTTTCTGGGTAATTATTTCACATGTCACTTTATTGCAGAACTCCAAGAATCCCATCCATCAGATGATCTATGAATATATGGACAAGAGACGAGACCACGTTTTAGTCAAAACCTACCAGGAAGCAGTTCAGCGTGTGATGGAATCCAATTATGCCTTCATTGGTGAATCAATCTCTCAAGACCTTGCAGCTGCCAGGCACTGCAATTTGATCAGAGCCCCTGAAGTTATTGGAGCCAGAGGATTTGGCATTGCCACTGCCCAGGGTTAGTCACTGTGTATGACTTCTGTCCCACTTCTCTCCACTTGGAATTTGGGGGTTTGAAATAGCTTGTTAGAGCAAAGAGCCTGGAATAGCTACATCTATGTATTAAAGCTAATAATCCACTATGAACAAGTTGATAACTTAGCTATCCAATATTTTCATTCAGTAAATGAATTATCAGTAGTGCTTGCTCTTATTTCGAACAGTAGATTTTAAAAATCCCCACTGCCAATGATATCAGGTTTTTTTTTTTTTTTTTCCTTTCTGTTTTTTCCTCCTGCTCCAAGGATACAGAAGAACTCTTAATAAAATTTGTTCTCCTGTAAGCATGATGGATAGTATTTTTCAAAGACTTCACACTGTCATTATTCTGTTAGTGGATAGGATAGGAATGGTTGTTATCTTGTCATCTAAGAAAGCACTCAGATTATTTTGCTGCACTCTGCAGAAAGACCATTTGAAAGTTGGGAAGCAGCACCCAGCTAACCCTGCTTTGTCATGTAGTGGCAGGTTGATTAAAAATGTTGTCTGTGATCTCTCTTACATGCTTTTCTCTTTCATTCTGCTGCCAGCATCGCCATGGACTAAGAAGCTATCAGTTGCTGTCCTCAAACTGCGGGAATCGGGTGATCTTGACTATTTGCGTAACAAATGGTGGGAGTCCAGCTGCCTTCACAAAAGTAGAGACAGATGGAGTCCTCTGCAGCCTCAAGCTCTGGGTGGGCTCTTTCTTACTCTTGCAATTGGCCTTGCATTAGGAGTGATTGCAGCTATGGTGGAGCTGTCAAATAAGAGCAGACATGCTGCTGGACATGTGAAGGTGGGTGACTGTCATCATCTTTGTCTTCCTCTTGGGCTCCCTTCTGTTTAGTGTGGGCATTAGTGCTCCACTGGGCAGAATGCTGGCTTTCTTATTATGGCAATCTTGTTTGTCTAAGGAAAGAAATGTAATGGAGTGGGAAAATAGATGCTATGTATTTACTCTTCAAAATCTTTGCTATGTTGTTGCTTGGGCTATGTGACAGTTATGTAGCCTAAGCAATATAAAAATTTTAAAAAGCTTAAAATATTAAATAGAAACATTTACTGTAATGCAGACAGACTGCATTCCAATACTCTAGTGTGTACAGAGGACAATAAATCATCAATAACAAGTTTATTCTCAAGTATGGCTATTCTCAAGTCATTTGACAAGCAGGAAAACACATAAATAAAACTGCACTAGAATTTGAATGTGTATTTTGGTGTTCTTGTTCTCCTATCCACTGCAATGAAAGTCTAGTGAACATTTAAAAGCTGGATTCTACAATACAGAAAACCTTATCCCCTTTCTTTCCCCCCCCATCTTCTTTTCCAGAAATCTTGTTGCTCCATTTTCACAGAAGAAATGTGCACTCGTCTACGTATAAAAGAAAATACAAGACAAACCCAGGAGACTTCAGGGAGGGCTAATGCTTAAAAAAAATTCTTAAGGAATGGGCATATATTGGGGTTGTACTACCATATATATGTCATAGGAGCTACATCACTGTAGAAAGATATTTTTCTGCAAGACTAGAGTGTTAGTTTCTAATTACAAACACACAGTACTTCTGGATTGATGGTGGAGCTGGTTATAGAAGAAAACCAAGCAGCTTGGAAGAATTTAAATTGATAAGAAGGAGAGAGCAACTGCTAAAATTAAGGGAGGTTAAGATGGGTGATCACATCTATATTTAATTTAGAAGTTTACTATGTAAGTGCATAAATGCCTGCAGGAGTAAGTGACTTGGGATAGGTTAATATGAAGCCTCTGCATACTAATTATAGAATGAGGTGCAATCTTGAAAATTAAAGCTTTTATCTGACTCTTCTAATCAAGAATAACTGCTTCCTAAGATTTTAATTATAAATAGACTGTACTTTTGCCTCCTTCTAGGCAAATGATAGTGATCACTGTGAAGGTCATTTCTGAATCAGAAAGGACATTACTGATGCATCCATTCCAATAATGCTGGATTTAACTGTATTCTACACAAAGGCCTAAAATCTGAGAAGGGGAAGCCTTACAGTTAAGGAACTAGATTTAAGAAATGTCTGTTTTCCATCAGAAGATATGTTTCCTTTTTAGCTACGGAGGACAGTTTGTCCTAGTTAACCTGACTAGGAACTATTTAGGAATAAGATTCATACTTAAAATCCAAGAGCAGTAGAACATGAACACTGGCAAACAAAATCAATTAAAGTACAAATAGAGTAGGCAAGGGTGTAATGGGCGTTTTTTGTTATTTTCTTGCTGTCAGAGAAGAATCTTTGAAGTTCATGGGGAACAGTTACTTTGGTTACATATTAAATAGTTTTCTAATTAAGCTGTTTTTCACTTCAGAGGTGGAATGGCTGATGCATGCACATACTGTTTTGTAAATTCAAGGTTAAATAACTGCATTTATGTACTGCACATCTGATGGAGCAGGGCGCAAATTCAGTTACTTAGAAGTGGTTTTAACTGCACTGCGTGAACAGAGAGACTAATTCCTCTCTGTTCCAGCATTAAATAACTGAAGGAAACAGAAATTAACATGTCTGTGACAGGGATAGAGCTGGTTGTTCCTGAATAAAGTATTACAGATTCACTTTGAATGCAATGTAGACTTAAACTTCTGATTACTGCTAAGTAATTTAGTATGGATGCAGCTCGTCTCTCCTCCCCCCCCCCAGATTGTTAATAATAGTGGAAGCAGTAGGAGTTAAGAGTTCTTTAACTGTTGGTAGTGCTGTTCAGTTATCTACTATGTGCTCTCACATCATGACAGTTCTGTTTTAAATGCAGCCGAAATAAAGTTCGTTAGATTAGGAGGAGGATCAGTCCCTCAACCAAATTAACTGCAAAGAGCATGAGACTGTTTAGGTAAGTTTAAAAGCTGACATGGAAAAATACAATGTCAGGTTCACTTAGCACTTTAAAAACTATTTGGTATGTGCCATGTCATTGCTGGCAGAGTAGGCAGAGATGTATAAAAAAAGGTTTCATTGACATTTAAATATATTTCTATATGAATGTCTCACAGAACAAAAAAATAAAGTCTTTTCATCACAAATACTGCATCATTAAAATAAACACTTACCAAAATAAACAATGAGTGATATACATATATATATTTGAGTGTGTATACTATAGAGTGGATCATATTGTTGCTTTTTAAGTCACAAAAGCACAATATAAATATGGAATTTCCTGTGACCTCTTTTCCCTGTTGTAATAAAAATACATTCTTTACAGTTAAAGTAAAACTAGTGCAAGTCCATTCTGCTGCTCCTGTTCACCCAGTTGACCAGATTTGTATCATTTACATGGCACTTCATACTTGAAAATGACACTGAATATTTTCCCTCCAAGGCGATCGGCAAGCCAGGAGTTTTTGATAACAGCAAGCTTGAGGCTCTCACACTTCAAAGCTGCGTAGTAATTGGTGTGGATGGCACGACCCATGCCTTCAATGATAACCAAGTCTGTCTTCCGTTCTCTGACCAGCACAGCCAGACCTTTATCCAGGCGGCTGAAACGAGAGGTATGGTTAGAAATAGTCATCCTTATACGTGCTACAGCTGAGAAAGCAGATGTTCTAAGGGTCTTGTCATTTATAGAAAACGTGGCAGGGTATGGAATTACTGATGCCAATAAACAATAACACCTTAATCAAAATAAATGGGATCAAAATATAGTTTTAAAAGCTTCATTAAATGTGTGCAGAATTGGGATTTCTGAGAAAACACAGGTTAAGTTCTGTGTCCAAGAGAGAAATGTAGTTAAAAACAGTGGTCAAAGTGAATTACTGACGACATGTAATTGCTGAACACCAAAATGATAAATAAGCTGTAGAGCAACTAGTAAGGCTTAATCAATATTACAAGTCTGTAATGCAGACCAACTCAAGCATTTTTGTGAAGGGTGGCTAAGGTACTTCAGAACACATACAAAGTCTCAGGTCATCCTTCATTTGACAAAGACAAATGACAAACTTGCCATTATACCTTAGATCTAGACAAGGAGAACTTGAACCCGTCTGGACCAACAGCAGCTTCTCTTCCTTCAGTGCAGATCTTTAATTGAAAATAGGAACAAACAAAAAGTTACAGTCGTGTAAATATGGTAATAAGCCAGAAAGAATATCTAGGTATTCTTTGCAAAAGCTTCTTTTCCTGCTAGGAAATCACCCAGAAACACACTTCCACGAGCAGCAGGTTATCTAGTCAGCTACCTGTCCTCTACAGGAAACAGGCTGGAAATGGTGTATATTTCCCTCAATTTTTCTTTTTTTAAACAAAGAAAATACAATATTTTAGTAGTTTGAGTCCTAATCAGGGATGATACTGACAAGAAACTGATACATATACTATTAAATATAATTTAGAAAGCAGTTCTTAATTTTTTGTCATAATTGAAGTGAATCATCCTCTGTACCTTACTTCTAGTTGCAGATTTCAGACAGTAATAAACACAAGTAAGGAACTCCATATGTAATGAGGAACTTGCTTCTTCCTTCTATGCTTTTTAAGATACATAATGAAGACTGATTATATGCTTACTGAATAACTGGATCCATTGCTGCTATCCGTTCAGCAACAATCAGGGATTCGCTGTAGGTGACATCATTTAGAGCAGGGCCAGAGTTACAAGCCAATATAACCTGAGGCAAAGATGTCAGAATAGTTCACTGATTAACACAGTCCATGTATGGTGCTAGAGTTGTCTGTTTGTTTCAAGACTGCCCTTCTCTGGCTTATAGTAAGAACAGAATCAAGGAAAGAGAAAGCCTGAAGGCCTGGTCTTTATTTTCTCCTCAAACTAGCCAACTACTCCAGGTGTTCTGACGTTACAGATCCTCAATTAGAAAGCTTAGCTCTGACCTAAGCCCCTCTCTGCTTTGCAGTATACTTAGTTAAACCTCAGACTTCATGGAATTTAGGGACGAGCTCACTGTCTCAACTCGGATCACTCCCACTTTAGGTGCTATGAGCTAGTCTCATCAAGTGCACTGCTAGTAGGTATTTAACAAGCCTTTCACCAGTTACAAAAGCTTTAATATATATTGGCTGTACAAAAAAACCACTCACCTCTGTTCCCCTAGAAAGAAGCTCTCTAACAAAAGGAAAGACGCCTAAAATTATGTCTATTCCACTGTTATCTGCGAAAATTAAGGCACATTTATGAGGGGGACCCTCCTGCAAGAGAAAACCAGTGCATTAATAAGGTGGTTTCATGAGTAATGCATTCAGTTACTCAAAGGTTAGTGATAATTCTGGACTCGTACCTTCAGCCGCTCTAGCCACTGACTGTAGGAATCTTCTAACCAGGGACGTTCTGTGTCACAGACAAAGTTGTATTAGCATTACATTTAGGCAAAGAGTAAATCTGTACATTATGCAAAGCAGGAGGTGTCTCTTTAAAGATATGGAATATTTGAACTCAGATTTTGAATGTTAAGGAGTTCCTGAACTCTTAATTATTGGAAGTTCAACTACAGTGGCCTTGGAATAGAATTTTTCTGATAGCAATAGTCATATCACACTCCTCTTTACTCTCTTATTAATACAACATCCAGATCTAACCAACACTACAGATCTCCCCCCTATACCTTGCAGTTTTGACTTGGCTTCTTCAAATCCAAATTGTGGCTCACATTCCAGAACACTGTATCAGAAGAGAAATAAAGGATACACAGTTAAGCAACTTCAGCTCACTTAATTTAAACACTTATATAGCAGGCGGTCGGCAATTTTACTGCAGTGATTACAATTGGGAGTATGGACAGGTCCAATGATTGAAAAATAGATCCACCCTTAAAAACAAAAGGCTTGTATGTACATTAAATTAGAGAGTTAAATTAGAGATTAGCAAGTACTACTCTATGGGGGAAAAAAAAACAACAAACCTTTGGATCTGCAGATGACCATAAATATAGTAATGATCTGAACTATCACAGCCATAAAACAACACTTGACAAAATTAAATCTGGAGAGATTGGTCTACAACATTTTCAGTTGTATTTGTGTGTAGGCAGGAAAAAAAATCCAACAAATTAACTAGATACAGGTTTTAAAAGCTATTCCTATTGGCTGTATGTATAGCAAAGTAGCCTCAAACTTAGCTGGTGATGAGGATGTACAAAATGAGGCTAGATTCTAAGCTGTCAGTTAAGATATTACTCCATGTGGGCAGTGCTTGCCAGTCAAGTCTCATAAAGGATAAAGTGCCTTAAGTCTAGTACCAAGTGATGTTTAACTCTTAGCTTCTTCCTCAAAGAGAGGGAGAGCTACACTTACACAAGGCAGTGAGACTAATTGCTATGACTGGGGTCAGTTCAAGTTTCTGCAGCTGTGGGCAGCATTGGAATTAACACAAATCCAAGTAGCCTCAAATCACCTTGTTTTGAACTGCCTTGCATTTTTTTTGTTATTTACTCAAAAGGGGAAAACTCCTCAAAGATGCAGAAAGGAAAAGGAAGTGCTGGATGTTCGCTGCAAAACAGTGCCCACCTCCCCTATCTATATTATCAACCCCACAGAAAGAGGTAAAAATCTAGAAATACAAAAACAAAGATATTTCAAAGCTGACAGCATTTACATCCTTTTCTGAATTCATGGCTGCTGACAGGATATAAGGAAAGAGCTCTCAAAATGTCAGTAGAAATGTATGCTGATCGAAAACAATTGGGATTTAGTTATTTTAAGAGACCACTCAACCTAGCTTACAGCCCATTGAATATATAGTTTCATATCAGGGCAAACGTGGGTTACAGAGAGAGCACATTTTCTACTATAGGAACATAATATCAGCTTAAATATAACACATACTCAAAAGCTGGGCTAGTAACAGTGCTACAAACAAAGCAGCCAGACTGCAATATTAAGTGCTCTGTCAATTCAAACATTCAGTGATATGTCTGCCAGATTTGAAGGGTGGAAACAAACTTTGCTGCACTGCAATAATGCTTGCAAATAAACGACCAACATATGATTAAGGTTAAATACAAACTACAATTAGATTGGTGCATTTTATTTACTTATTTCTAAAACAAAAACAAAAAACCAACAGTTGGATATTCTATATCTTAAAAGGGTGCTTTTAAAATATTTAACACCTACTCTGAGACTGCTTTTGCTCCCCAGTCAAAGACATTCCCCGCAAGAAGTCCTTTCACCAGAGCAAACTGCCTCTCCTCCCAGCCTAATGAATCCAAAGATTCGATTACGCTTTGAAAACATTTTAAGGCTATGCCATTTTCTTTCTGCTTTACCTGTAAGAAAGACATGAAACATCGCATTTACGGACAAAAAATTCTTACCCATCATTGGCTGTCTCAGTCCCAAGACCGCGTTCAAGCATTCTCCTCTACGTTCATGGCCTCTAATGGACCAACAAGTTACTGTTATCAGCATGCTTAGTACCAGCAAGAAAAAAGTTTCCTGGGATTCTAATAAACAGCTTTATTAGTGCTAGCATGTGTTCTGTAGTCTAAGAATTACTTGTCTTAATACATGAGAGGTATGGTAGATCTTGGGCAGACAGGGGAATGGGAGAATGGACACAAAAAAAAAGAGACTTAAGTAGCAACATCAAAACCAGGTAACCTGTGTGAGAAGGCTTACCACTAGCAGCTCTGCAAAAGATGGGAAAGTGTGGCTTGTTTTAATTTTTGCATCAAAAAGTTCATCATCCTACATGCTTAAGGACTCTTGACCCCACTCCTATCTCCAATGAGCTCAAATGTTACATAGCTAGTTCTTTTTTATAAAAAACAAGCAGGTACTGAGTGCCATCTTTACATCAAGATCTTTTGTTGGCACTATCTTATCTGAATTACAAAAAAGGAAAAGAAAAAAAAGCAGCAATCAATAACCATTTGTCCTGAGAACAGCAACAACTAAACAGTTAAACTGTTAATCTCTTCTATGTAAGCCATTACTTATACAAAGTATTTGAGTACAGAACAGTGTCTCGATCTCACACTGTCTGCCCTGTAAAGCAAGAACAGCTTACCTTCGAATAAGGATCCGGAAAATTGAACTCGTTTAAACAGTGTTCCCTTGTA